TGCTGCTAAGGCTTTGATTTATGGAAAGTGTTTTCAGAATGTTGCAAAATTGCTAGCAGGCATGATAGTATCAGTTAAATCGCTAAGAAGCTCTACAAAAACCTTTTAATGTACTAGATGTTCCCCAGACAATCTAGGATAAACAGAATATTGTATTTTAAGATGTAAAACATTTTTAAAGCTGATAATTAGGCAGCATTTTGGCACTAAAAAGATACCCTTACTAAATGAATTAAGTAAGAATTTGTGTTGAGTATTTTGAATCCCTCATATCAAAAGTGCTGCTGTCTATAGCATGTATTTGGCATTTTAGGTATATGAATGATGCAAAAATTATGAAATAGTAGTAATATATATTTGGCTATGGTTTTCTAGTATTTCATTTAGTTCTTTTAAATTTTGGTTGTCATAGTATTTTCTGCAGTGCTAGATAAGCATTTCATTTAAAATAAATACTAGCTAGCTTTTTTTGTTCCATTAATCTGTTAATTAAGATATCCCGAATAGTTCAGATATATGATATAGTTGTAATTTTACTTACAAACCTAATTTCAGGGAAGAGCCAAAGAAAGGAAACACTGTTTTTGTATACATTTAGGATTTGATCATGAAAGATGCACAGTGCTGTCTGTGAGTTGCTCGGATCACCTCATTTACCTACAAAGATAGGAGGTCTCATCCTCATGTTGATTCATGCCCTCTGATGATGAAACAAACAACATCGGGAAATCAAATCAGAAATTATTAAAAAGGATTAGGAAAAGCACTATGCACTTAACTACTTGATTAAAAATAGTGATATTAGAGTAAATGGCAGCTAATCAGGTTTGATGTAAGCATCATTTGTATTGACAACCAATGGGAGATTAAAGCAAAACCTGTGAAGTTTTGATACTAATCAGTTGCAGGTCCAAAAATCTAATTATAAAGGGGAATACAGTAGTGGAGTATGATAAGGCTTATTGGTTAAATCACTGATACCCATCAAGTTAAATATATATCAGTTTCATTAATTGGCAACCACAAGACAAGTGTACTATATTCAGGATGGTGATGATTTTGATGTAATCCACCACATTGTGGTTAAGTATATGATTCATGTAATAAGAAAAAGTTGCCTGCAGGCTATTGTTCCTAGCATGGATTAAAATTTACATACTGCTTCTCCTTATGTCAAAACATCTGGTGCCTGCAAATGCTAACATTTCGTTAAAAAGTTTCACGAGCTAGGAAAAGTGGATTGGAAACATTGCCTGTGAATCATTCAAGCATTATAATGGAATAAGAGGCTGAGTTAGGAACAGGCAGATTGCAGAAAACAATACTGTAGTCAACATAAGGGATTCAAATGCTTATCAGTGTGGTAGGTGACACTGTATTTTTATGAAAGGGGAAAATGCCTTAAATCTAAAGAAAGATAAATCAAGTCTAAAGAAATAATTAACAATTTTCTCAAATGTCATGAACTTTTTTTTTCTCCTAGGTTCCTCACTACATTAAAATATATATTTCTTTTCCAGCGAGATGTGCATTTCAGCATTTGGGTCACAGCTTGAAATAATTCATGCTTGAAGTTTAGAAAAGAAAATATTTTATGCCATTTGTATTTGTTTCCATACACTCAATGTATTTTCCCTAGAATAGTGTATGACTCCTATCTCTACCCTTCTAACAATCATACACATCCTGGATCGTACCAAGATCATCCTCAAAAGGTTTGGACTATCAGTTTTCCTCAGTTATGTGAAGTTTTGAAAACAAACGGCTTCTCTTTTTATACTAGTACCTAGTACCCATTGGCTTCCAGGTGGAGTTTAATGTGCTAGTTTTGACCTATGAAGAAATTAATACAGTAGTTTGGGTCCCAGGTTACCAGATTAACACATTAATTTTCCTCTGTGCTTTATAAAGTGGCAGCTGTGATTAACAGAGGCATTAGAGAGAGAGATTGTGCCATATAAGAA